TTTAAACCACTATAGCGAATACCTGAATACCATCGTTTTGTTGAGTTATTTGCGAATTTGATAAAGTTAATGGGATCGAGATCGAGGTCGGGTAAATGATTGGCCCGGTCTTCATTTTAATCATAAACATTGTCAATATTTCGTTGTCAGTTTATTATCGATTTCGTTATTTTCACAATTGGCTTCATCGTCACACTGCCTGTTTCTACTTCATAATTATTTTTCAGTTTTTTTTTTTTTATGAAAGTTGGATAGATCTCTATACAAGTTGCAAGAATAAGCCTGAATTTTCACCATTTATAAAATGCTTTATTTTTCCAAAATGATATACCCTTCATGATAGCACAATTTGAAGTACAGTATTTGTAAACGATAGAAACTCGGGTATATATTTAGAATTAAACAAAACAATACACTGTCGACAATGGATAATATGTGTATAATTAAAATGTTCTCCACTGAAAATAGCATGATTATTGCAGATATTATTTACTTATTATGTATGTTCGTAGTCACGGCTTTTATAATGAATGTTCATTTTATAAATATAAATAATTTCATTGCTTCAGAAGGAGAGTATTTAGCACTACAAAAAGAAGAAAGCTTCTTTATAACTGACCTGTGCAAACTTGACAATAAAGTGAATGCGGATAAACTTCTTCAACTTAATGATATTGATCAAAACGAAAGAAAACTATATCATTGCATAGTTCAATCGCGTTATAGGCATCTGTAATGGATATCTATGGATTAAAAAATTAATTCACAAAGTGAAAAGAATATTTATGCAGGAACTTAATGAATATTATAATAACCTTTTCTTTGAAAAGGAAACAGAAAAGAATTTAAAAGAAACTATCGAACTTGGTGAGCCAGATCTATATTATAGACACACTTTTACTATACTTGTCGCCAAAACCCAAAAATATTATAATTGTGTTTGTCCACTCCCAGATCCCAAACTCTGGACAAACTAATATCTCTAAAATTTTCACATAGTTTATGTACAGTATACTTGTCGGTCGAAACCAGAAGCTTATCGATTCGGTCTTCGGTAGTTTTTCATTTGCTTCAGAATTTATGAGAACAGATGTAAGTATCAAGCTGTCTAAAATACTGGGTTCAGAATTTTTTTTTTTTTATACAAAGTCTGACCGGCCCAATAAGCTTGTTAAATTTAAGATGTTCCATAATGCAAGCAAAATCTCAAAAAACTCGATATACAGTATTTTTGGTATTTTGGAATTCGCTAAAAATATAATTATACTTTCAAGCCAATCTAAAAATGCAAAATTCAGACTTAAGTCGCCCCAAATCATCAACGTTTAAAATATGCCATTCATATTTTATTTTTTTTATTGCATTAAATTAATGAATGGTGTAAATATCACTATTTCATCTGCATAAAACAAATAGTTCAAGTTAGTTAATGCTCACACAAATACGTCACATTAATTTCTCAGCGTTAATTTAGTGGTGGCTGTGAAGAACTTTATTTTTCCAACGTACTATAGATATTTAAGCTCATTTATTGCACTAATTTAGTGAATGTAATGTTATAAAATTTTATTATGAAGCTTTCTAATTTAAAAACTATTCAACTTTCTAATTGTTTTGTTTTAATTATTACTGTAGTCCGTGATGTACATGAAATGTACAAAAAAGAAATAATAATGACTCAAAATTTTATTATGACGACTTGATTTCAAGCATTAAATAAAAAAAGATAAAATTTACATATAGGGGCCCGAAAAGTGAAAATAATTACAAATAAGGGCCCAAATTGAAAATAATTACATATAAGGGC